GTTTAGCTCCGACGAGCAGCAGCAAGGCGATTGACAGTGCGAGATGCAGGAGGTCATGAGGAAAAATCATTGCAGAAGACAGCGGCGACAGTTTTTTCAAGCCCTGCCCGGCCGCTGAAGAGTTCGAAGTTCTGTGAGTCTGTGAGTGTCAGCGTCAGAGTTGTTGCTGCTGTCCTGCTCGTTCTCGTCCAGATCCTGCATCTCCTTCATGCGTTCATGCATCATATGCATGCTGATCGTGTTTTTGGTTCAAGGGTTCAAGCAAGGGCACGTGTGTAGGAAGGCAGAAAAATCTAGGCCGACTTACTGCCCTTGCAATGGTTGCAGAGGAGAGCTGCTTGCACATGTGCCATCGATTATACCTTTGCGGCCTGCATGCAGGACACAGCAAGGAACCGCTCAAGATCTCCACGGCCGGTTCGCCTGGAATGGCGATGGTGCTGGAAAAGTTTTTGGGTCGGAGAGACCCAGCGACTTGCAAGCAGACTGCTTATACAACATGCCTTGCATTTGTGAGTTGTGGAGGCGCTTGCTTTCGTGTTACACCTAGGATCTGGTACTGGGTATGGTGGAGACATCCCCGTGATGATGACTGAGCTGTCGATCCATGGTGCGACCTGTAATTAAGCTTTCCAAGGGAGGCCAGCGAGCCACACCCATGGACTCATGCATGAATATGCAGTTATCCCGAAAGGGAAACTCGAACGAGCGAAAAGATCGAGGCTGATTGAGCTGGGTTCATGTGAGGCTGAGGGCTTGCTACTCGGTAGACACTTAGTGTCGACATCTTCATGTTCCAGGGCAGCCATTGCTAGCTGAAGAGCTAACAGCTCGATATAGATCGGACCTTGGGCCATGCACAAATTTACAACCAAACACCCATGCAGCTGCACAAACATGTTTTGCATGCAATGCTCGGATTCAGTTCAGCAGCACATGTCGCATCTGCTGCAGGCTCTTGTAGGCTCAAGGTTGCCGCTCACCTTCCTAGGAAGCCATGGCAGACGAGGGCGACAAAGCCGTTCAGGTGAAGGAGGTCGTGGAGGAGACTGTGCAGACAGCCCAGGAAACGGAGCTCCTGGACGAGGTTCTTCAGCAAGCCCTGGAGACTGTGCAGAAATCCCGAGAGCGTCGCAAGTGCAAAAGGCAGCTCTGGGTGGAGGACCAGTTCCTCAAGTTCCCCTGGCTTTCCACCGCCTTCCTCACCGAGCTGCTACCAAAGAGCTCGAGCTGGTTCCTTCCCAAAACAGATTGGGAAAAAGAAGCCTGCACAGCCCGTCGTGTGCTGAGACTGTTGACAACAGTTCGTTTTGGCCTCAAGCTACGGCAGCTGGCTGCCGCCAAGGGCGGTCAGTAGGGGGACTCAGCTGTAGCAGCTGCCAAGGCGCAGTCGGACAGTACAGCAGGGGTTTGCTTTTGGGGAAGAGAAGTGCATGCATGCTTTGAGTGACTGTGTTCGAGAGGAAGCTGCCAGTTCCTTAAACCTGTCGCTTGTAAGACTTGACGCACCGCCAGTGAGTCTGAGGTCGAGGGG